GTATTCGAATAGGAGGATAGACTAGATAAATATAAATCTTGATGATGTGCAACCTTTGTGTTAGAGAGTTGTTTATGCTGACACGATTTGTAGTCGTGTTGTAAGATTATTACTGGATAGGAGGTTATGGTTGTGAGATCTCCTACGTGAGATTAATGTAAATAGTAAATATCTTAGAAAGTATATAAAGGCTAACTATGATGCCATGTGGACGAGGAGAAAGGCATAGAAAAGAATAAACTGTAGTGATAGTTATCTGTTCAAAAGCCTGCGCTCAACTACTTGTGTAATCGAGTAACCTAGTGACGGTCAAAGAAGTGTAGTCCTACACCCGAGGAATTAGTGTTCTAATAGGAAGCGTAGTTCCAGTAGCACTTGTTCAGTGTCGGGATTGTACCGTACTTAGCTAAGTTTTACACGATAAGTAGAGATCCTGTGTCACAAAAACGTGGTTGTGACAGATGTCTAAGAAAAGAATTTTGGTCTATTCTCGTATTAAAGTTTAAGAAAATTTAAGTTAAGTTGGAGGAATAAATTACCGTCAAATCAAGAGAAAACTTCGCAATAAAGTCGGATTAGTCTATAATTTTAAGTAAGTAATATTTATTATGTTAAGAAAGTCCTTAATCAATATGGTTTGAATTCTTTCAGCATGATGCTATGTTTTGATCATTACAGAAACTCTAACTACAGTAGCTAGGCTAATCAAAGAGGATTTAATATCCTGCATGATACCAGGCGAAAGTATGGTACCCTTTACGAGGCTATCTATGTAGTAATAGATAGCATAAAAATTACTAATGTAGAGAATAGCGATAGATTTATTATGTAACACTTTTAATTCAGTCGCTAGCGCAAAATACAATCTAGTAGCAGATTTCTTAAGTGATGAGTAAGTTAAGTATTGGCTATGGCCTATTGCTCAAATTATTTAAATCCCAACGACTTTATTCTCTTCCGAATGTTTTGTTCTGGATGTAATTTATATTGATCATATACTCGTATTTACATCATATTCTTTCTTGCTTTTGAGTCTGTTGTTGCTTTGATCGTTCAGGCTTATTTTGTAGGATTAGACAAAATAGATTTTTTAACGCTATGACGTAGATTAAGGCTGATAAACGATCACAAAAAGTTCATATGAAGCAAAGATGAACGTAATTAAAAGATATTCTCTATTCCACTCCAGGTACGATGATAAAGAAGTAATTCCAACTTATTTAAAATTTTATCCTTACCTGTCACTCTGGCTATCCTTACGAATTAAATCGTATAAAAGTATTGACGTTGGAACAGCTAGCATAGTATAGTCTGTGGCTAATCAAAAATTATTTAGAGTAATATTTAAATTAAAAGATTAGTAGATTTCACCATGTGACATCAAAGTGTAGAATAGCACTCCAACATTACCGTATTTACCAAAGAATATCAATAGCTATTTAGAAGTATTTTAATACGACTGAAATTGTAGCATTCTGATTACGTTCTATTTAACTAGTGTA